TTAATTTATTGTTATGTATGATAATAAATTAGATTTCTGAAATGTGTAAGTAATGTCACTAAACGATTTATGATGATCCAACGGATAATAACACATTACAGATGACCTTTATTTCACTGATCTTTTTCACGGACAGTGGTCTAGATCAAATTCACTATGAAGTCACATGTTAAGAGATTCCTAACCACCTAACCACGTTTGTTAAATGCATAAACATAAGAGAACAATAATCAGCAATGATTACAGTGTTTACTACCAGGAGCGAGAAATATGATGGAAGTATTCAATCCGCGGTAACTAGGTTTAACAAGAATAGAACAGTAATGGTAATATTAGAATCCTGTACAAGCTTTTCATAACTACTAGCATAACGTCAAATCAGTACAATGCATTAGTTGGACTGATACTGACCTTTTAGAATTTTACTGAAAATCTATAAGGTATAGCCATTTACATCGTCATTGGTTCTCATACAAACCCTTATATTCATTAATGATTCTTAACAAATGAAAGGTTTCATCCATAAAAGTAAATAAAACCAAATAATCGCATAGAATTATATTACACTTATATAATTCATAACTCCGCCTGGAGTCTCTCCGGGGGGTACTGCCGTTCCCAAGCCCGGATAAAGGAGGAGGGTTAGACATGGGGTTAGTCACCCCATCCCGTAGAAAACTAATTTGCTAAAAAAACGCTAACCAGAAAAAATTATTCAGACTGCGTCACAAGACAAGCCCTCACGTGGAATCCTCAAGGCCAAAGGGAAAGAGGAAGACCAAAGAACACATTACGCCGGGAAATGGAGATAGACATGAGAAAAATGAACAAGAATTGAATGGAATTAGAAAAGAAGGCCCAGGACAGAGTGGGTTGGAGATTGCTGATCGGCGGCCAATGCTCCATTGGGAGTAACAGGAGTAAGTAAGTAAGTTATATAATTCATAGTACATTCTACTTATATTAATGCTAAATACTAGTTGATTATATACTATTCTCACAGTCTATCTTAGTACAATACATTGGGAAATTTTTTCAACAAAAAAATATGTTCTGGACACGAGTAATCAATATATCCATTATATACAAGCATAAATCAAATTTGTCCATTTCTAATTGAGTTTAAATGTATCTAATGCAAAGCATATGCACAAGCATATTTATTGAAAGACAAGTGGAAGTACATTAAAGTTGTTGTTTTGTTTTTTTTCAAATTTGTTTCTTTGCATTTTATTTTTTTTTCTTTCCAAAAATAAAAATGGCGATCGATTCATTCATAGAATTTTTTAGAAATAAATTTGTTTTACTAACGAATTATAACAGTAACTTGTAACGTTGAATTAATTAGATAGTTTCAGTGGATTAGTAGTGTATTTTCAGAAAAACAATAAATTATTGAACATTAAAATCCCCCAAAGTTTTTGTCTTTATAAACCAAGTACTTATAAAAAGTCATTTGATGAATAGTTACAAAAAAAGAGAAAACTTTTGTTGCCATAGCATTCGAATACACATTTGTGAGTGAGTATGTTTCTATTCAATGAGCATTTTCTTGAATAAGTATTTTAATTGTTGAATTCATGTTTTGACGTAAGCTAGACTATCATGAAAAACCTGGAAGCACTGGTTGCCCAGCCATTCATAGATCGATAAAAATTAGATATTAACACCATTAGATACCAACCAGCTCAATAGACTAGAGGTTAATCGTTTGCATGTCAGATCTAAGGTCCTGAGTTCGAATCCCGTGAACGTGGTTGTGGGTGCGCACTGATGGGGTTAGTCAGTCAGTCAGCTACAACATAGGACCAGGCACATATATGCATCGGTCCAAGTTGCCATACCTCATTAGCACAACAAGATAAATGCTGAATTCATAAATTAGCTAATTCAATGATGGTATTATATAAAAGAAAGTTGTATATAAGGATATAGTACAGGAGGAAAGAATTAGTTCGTAGAAAAAAATGTATGAATCGATTTCAATCTCATAGTTTAAAGGAAGACAAAGAGTGTATACACCTACACTATTGTGATCGATTCTGAGCCATGTCACTCAGAGTCCCCGACCCTTGGTTACGATAATCACGCGGACCCATTAATGTTGATCAGACCTCTGAGATAAGTGACGTTGTCGACGCGTTTGACTGCCTTACTCCCTATCCTTAGTTCAGGTATAGACGCAGGCCAGTCCTAAAGAGACAAATCGCATTTAAAGGAGGAGAAACGCATCTCAAACATCTCGGCATTGTTGCTCAGTGCTACCAAAAGACTATGAATTTTATCAGCATCTTCACCAAACAGGACTACGTCATCTGCATATCTAAGTAGATAAGTGGATCTCTTGGTAGGAGATTCGATCAACGAGAATGCTGAGGAGTCCCACACTAGTACAAAATGGCCATCCAGTGGTTCCATGTTTTCCATGGTGGTCTAGCTTACATCGACCCATGAATTCAACTACTGCAACCTCTACAAACCCCATTCTCTGAATAAGTATTTACCAAACTTTAGAAGTAAATTATTTTCTGAAATAAAACTATGAATCAAATGTCATTAATTTATACACAAATACACTATAATTCATTAAAACAAATGAATAAAAAGTTCACTGTAGACTATTCACATAAGTTAAATATTTTAATGTAGAAAAAGTACATTCATTTATTAATTACTTTAATTAAGACTAAGATGTAAGACATAATGACTGTAATTCAAATAGGTGCTTATATGAACTTTACCGTAAAGCAAATATCTTTTAATCACTAAGCCTTTTTTAATAAAAACAATTACTTGATATATTCACTTGGTTTTGTTTTACTTGTATCTTCCCATTGTTATTTAGGTCTACAATTGATCAGTTTCTTGTTGATATATGTGCATCCTGTGCCAACTGCCTCGATATTGCCTTAATTCACAAGCTTTTTTAAACAAAGATGGATAGTGACTAGTAAAGCAATCCAGGACGCATGTTTTGTCCAACTGACGAGTACCAAATAGGACGAAACGCGCGTTCTGGATTCCACTGCTAGCCACTATCCATCTTTGCTTAATTACTTGATAAGTTTAACATCTAAATAATTCATTTAATTGTAATTACAAATGGAAAGTACTGAATTTGTATTATACATTTGAAGGGTGAGTTTATCAGAGTTATATTCTAAAGTAATTTATTTGCAACGAAAATTAGTATCGTTTAATCTAGTCCAATTGAATAAATACTGAACTGATGATTTATGCATTATACAATTAAAAATGATTTTGTTTATTATTTTTATTCAATCTGAACACATTTCATTTTGTTATGTAATAAATTTGACAAGGTAAAGCAATAAATAAGATTCAATGTCAATATTAGTTTGACTTTAACATGAAAATTTGATAATCGATAGAAGTGAAACTGTTTTAGTGATATGTAGTGTTTATCTAATTAATTATATTGTTTAATTTCACTTAATATATATCATTATTTATCAACTAGCAAAAATTGATAAACTTAACTATAAATCGACCCTCACAATTGGATTGACCAGTGGGTGGTAATCAATATCATGTGTGTCAAATCCTTCTTAGTGAAGATCGAATGCTCTCGACCAAGTTCCAATGTGGCCACCAGTCTAGATGACTAGACATTGCGTGCAATACAGGAGATCGGTAGTGGCTCGGATAGCTCAGTGGTAACGTCTCTGACTGTGAAGCTGGATGACACGGGATCGAATCCGTCAGGAATCACCAGTTCCCTCAAGATTATAGGTACACCTTGCTGACGAGTGCCAAGTAGCATGAAACCCGGGTCCAGGGTTTCCTGTTGACTACTTCCAAACACCATCTTACGATCCTATCCAACAAAGCATAACTTAATAATTCTGAATGACTTTTAAGTGTGTTATAAAAGTGATGTTCAATAAATTGATAAATGACCAAAGCAATTAGCTAAAAATCAACAAGTTATGTATGTTCACAGATAATAGTAGTGTCAATCGTTAACATTTAAAATAGATTTCAACATTTTATTACCTTAGAATACTTTTATAGATCATATAAAATTAAAATTTATTCGTCTGTTATTCCAGACTACTTAATCGCAGTCACATTTTGCATCCATTTTCATTTAGAAGGAATTAAGTCTAGATTATCAGTCAAAATTAAAACGTTTTTGGTGACTCGTTTGTCTGATTCCAATTTCAAAGAATGAATGAATTAAATATGGACATAAATCTTCCATTTAACTTGATAAATTACTTAGATTAACCCTATTTATCTGACGACTATAATAAAAAGTTAAATAAGGGGTTGAGTTTGAAGAATTTATTTTAGGCACTTATTTTTTCAGACAAACATTAAGAATGAGAAGTGAGAAAACGAAGCGTAGAAGCAGGTCGGAAAAGAAAAACATCCCAACTCTGTTCGATAAAGCTTGACTCAATATTTACAGCCAGACAAAAATAAGCCGAAGGTAAGTGATGAACAGGGTAAGCAATACACACATGCACTCATATAAAAAGTGAAGGTTAATAAGCACATAATTGGCAAGATCAAAATATGAGTCAAGGGGAGTGAATAAGTCGATCTATCTGAAAGCTAGAATAAATTATGTGGGCATGACCTAGTACTAGACACTATATTTTAACACTGGGGTTTTGATCATAATATATTACATACTGTTTAATAAGTTAAATTATTGCGCAATAAGTTATTTAAATTATTTGAGTTTGATTCATTTCATTAAAACAAAATGAAACAAACAAATAGATACATGAAAATTAAACTGTCATCTCTACATAACATTTTCAAATGAATGTACGGATAGTGTACTTCAGTTTTTAGAGGCTACAAATAAGGCAACTATTCTTTTTTTCTAAAGCTTATTAAAAAAATCACATCCTGTTGTTGAAATTAATTGGTGAGACTCCATTAGGTTCATTTGAAAAAAAACAATGTACAAACCGTTGTACAATTATACATCATTATCATTCTTAAAATATGTAACTATTACTTACCTCCTTGAGGGAAAAATTTACAGTAGATATCTTTAAATGAATCTTCATTAAGTGTACCAGCTGGACATTCCTAAAAATACAAAAAAAAGGGAAAAGAAGAGAATAACTAGTTTTAAAAAACCCCTTAAAATGTTGAAAATATTTTTAATTTTCTCTATAAACAAATTGAATGACTCTAAACAGGATACAATGAATACAATACAATACAGTTCTATCAATCTTCTTTATAAGTTTAAAGTCACTCATGACAGTCACTTTTATCATTTTTTAAAATGATTGACATAATAGAAAACTTCGTCACATTTAATAATTAACTTTATCAATAGAAATTTCACTAAAATAGGTAATATTCTAATTAGGTTTTTATTAATCAATCAATCAATCATACTCAATATAAAACCTAGTATCTATGTACATCAGTTCAGTTTGTTACGCTCCGTTAATACAATGAGATGAAATTCTCAAAGCAATTCATATCATTGTAGAAGAACTATCAGTACTAGTTGTAATAGAAAAGATCAGGCATTGAAGATATAATGAGAGAAAGTATAAATTTGTGAAATAAGAAATTTTATAGGGAATTCAGAAATGTGAGATCTAAGAGAAGATTAAGAGTGAATGCACCTTTCCAATTACGATAGATTTAGAACTATGCCACTTAAAGCCTCAAACCATTTGTTACGATAATCACGTAAACCTCGAACAGGTAGTCTCCACTTACCAATATGACTGAGTTCAACATTCAGTGTCTTTATGGATTGGCCTCATCTCTTCGTTGTACCATTATTAATTGTATTCTAACTTGTTACTACATCAGATATCACAGCGTGTATAGTTGGTCGATGGATGGGCGAGTGTAATAAGTGTCCAAGTTATTACGGTTGACAAAGATTCACTACCACATCAGTAGATTTGCCAAACTTATCTAGTACTCTGCCATTAACCTCAAAATTGCCAACTTGATGGTCCCAATAGATATGAGCAATGGATCAAACACATCCATGATTGAATCCTAGTAATCTATGAATATTCGCTACTTTTAAAAGCCATGTTTTACAGACACAAAATTGAGTGGACGAACTGCCGAGCAGTAGAGTCGTTTTTTATTTGGCAGATGGGTATCTCACCTATGCCACAAGTGACATAAATTGACAAAAGCTAGACGAGTTTTCCGAATCCATTTACAGATTTCGTGAGACACCAACCCAACCAATTCAACACAAGTGAACTGATGGACCTACTGAAATTCTTCACCATCTATCATTAATTCAGAAGCTGTTGAACACCAGTTTTGAATCAAAATTTGGCATTTAGAAAGGAAAAACGTGTCCTAGATATGCTTGAATTGTTGAGTAAAGAGGTTAGAAGACCTTTCATTTTATCAGCGTCTTCACCAAATAGAGCTATACTATCTGCGTATTCTAATTCAATAGGAGAATCTCCTAATGGGAGGTCGGTTCCTGAAAATTCAGATGATGAGAGTGTCGTCTTTAACATGTATCTGTGAAAAAGTCAAATAAAAGTGGGAAAATAAAGAAATCATGACCAGCAGAACTTAGAGTTGTTAATCCCGTCTATAGTGTTCGAGTAGAAAGCTTATACACATATATACGGATGTGCAGTTGAATAATAAATTCACTGAAGAGATCCCTTCGATGAATACCTTGTCTTCCAAGTTTCGATAAACACTGTGAAATTACACTCCTAATATTTCGGTGAATCTGGTAATTTGAGAATAGAAATTTTTTCATTTATTTCTATCTTTCGTTAGCTTGTAAAACTATTACAAATTACTGAGTGTACATCTAAAATGATTATGAATGTCAATGTAAGATGTCTTTGTGGTTGTAAGTTTAAATATTTACTGCTCATAATTAGGTCTTTTTTGATGGCTTTATTTTGTTCAAATGAAACGTAAATGATTATTTCTAATCTATAAGAGTAATAAGTACATTTGATTACCATATATAAGATGGTATATCAAGCAATCTCTGTTCAGAAAACTTTTATTAAATAGTTTGAGTACACTCAAGTGTTGTGGTCTTAAGTGAACAATATGAAATGAGCATCAGTTTCTGCAAAGATTTCAGTTCAAACGTGAATAAACCAACTCCCATAGGTTATTTTTTTAAAAAAAGCTGGCAAAAAAAAATTGATTAAACTAGAGATATTTCTTTACGCTACTTGTCTGATGAGTCCATAACTTATCAAATTATTGACACTTTCAAAATACACTGTTAGCTAGAATAAAATGTAGCAAAATTCTTTATCGACTGTTCGTGGTTCTTCAAAAGTAGTTGTCATGATGAAACATAACAGATCCTTCTTGAAACATATTAGGATATTGTGCTTTTGAAATCGGTTCACATTCTACATATTAACCTTTTCTAACAGAATTTATAACATTGACAATCATTATTCACCTTAATTACTCAGTAAATCTAGCATAAGAATGAAAAAGTAAAGAATTCACTTTTTTCATGAAGGTCTAGCTTTAATTAACTCATGATTTCAACTATTGAAATTCACTTTTTTAATAATTATATTTACGTTTTATTCAATCAACTAAGTAGGTTGATATGGTTTTTTATTCACTTATATTCTACTCTGTTTATTTCATGAAATTAAAAGTTGCATTTATTGTTATGTTTACCGGTTTATGTTATGTCCCTATAAGAATAACGAATGGTAATTTTTGGGGTCTATTTATGGACAAATAATATGCGTACATTTTTATCGTATAATTGTTATGTAACTAAACTATTCATATTCATGTCCCTCATATTGTGAGCTTTAATTTGACTTATGAACTATTACTATACGATCTACCATTCTTGAATTATGCCCTGTCTATTAATTACTACCTTCCTCATTCACAGCCACATTTGGCTAATTCTTGTACAAATGTTGTTTCAGATTTTGTGGTACGATGTGGTCTGTTTGGTTGGTATATAAACTCAGTATGTTTGAAATAAATGATTCATTTGTAGAGGTTGAGATCTGTGTTCTGGACTTAACTGGCTGGGCTAGGCATGAAGCACAGCCAATAAGGACTCTAAACTGCTCTTACGGGTTTACGCGTCATTGATCCGATCGATAAGTTACTGCTCTCTAATTGGCGGTATCGTTACGTTATACATTAACAGGGCATATAGTTCACAAGTTATAACAGTTTATATTAGTTATATTTAGAAACAAAAAAACAAGAATTACAAAAAAGCTGACTTATTAAAAGTCAAGAGATTAACAAATTTATCAGTGGAAACGTTTTTTTTTTCATGTTCAAGTTGATTTTTATGAATCCATTTATATATATACTGCCGTCAAACGGCTTATCTTTTTTGTCATGAAACGATATTATTTTTCAGCTTTCTCAGTAATTTACCTAGTTGAGTTCTAGAATGAAATTATGTAGATTGTATATAAGAGATAGAAAATTGGTCATTTAACATTATCATCAATGAACACTAATTGGTACTAAGTTCTACCAATTTTATTAATCAATTTTATTTATGGAGAATTGATTGCTTCTCCATTATTCTTTCCTAACTTGAATATGATTCAAAAAGACTAAATGAAATATTGTGAATACTTTGCTGTAAAGCTCTTAATGCTTCTATCATTGAATATATATCAGTAATTTTAGTTGAGATTGAATGTAGTGTTTCACTCTTTGAATAAATAGAGTACTTTGACCACTGATAATTCTTTGACAGTGATTTCATATTCAATTTAGTAAGAAAACTTATTGTTGATTATGAGGTTTGTTTAATACTTTTATAGCTAAATCTCTATATACAATCTGTTGAAATAGATTTCTGTCAAGCTCATATGTCATCATTAACATGAATTGAATTTTATCTGTCTTCATTATTATGATGAGTTTGTAAGTATCAATGCTAAGGTTTAACTTAATAATTTGAGATAAATTAATCAATAAGTAGACAATTAATAATAAAATTTTCTACTTATTAGTTTATTCAAAGAATATTACCATTCGTTGCATCATGATTATTTTCCCTAACTGAAATTGTAATTCATTACAGAAATAAATATGAAGTAAATCTCATCATCTAATGCATAATTCATGTTTATCAGTTGATTCTTTTTCTTTATAACATATGAAAGTGAATATAGGTTTTAATTTCATAATTGGATTCAAGAGTCAATTGAAGCTAGACCACCATGGAAAACCTGGAAGCCCTGAATGACCGTTTCGTCCCACTGTGAGACTCTTAAACAGAGCGGACCCACGATCCTGACACGTGGGATTCGAACCCAGAACCTATCAGTCTCGCGTGCGAATGCTTAACCTCTAGACCACTGAGCCGGTATCTAACGGTGTTAATGTCTAACTTCAACCCATCCAAGAAATTACGTCACCGTCCACCATTGTCATAAGTGAGTTACTATCTCAGAACAGACCTGGTTGAACTCCACTGGTTGTGGCTTTTCACCAGAACTTATGGTTTCATATCTAATTAACATAATAGTTTGAAAAGTAAAAAAATTGTGAGATCTCAGATAATTAGTAATCAATGTAAAAAAGAATTTTACTTGTTTAAATCCTTGATACATAATTTGTAATTCTTTTCTTGAGAATCTTGTTTTTCTTAACAATGTTTTAATACCAACAGGTTTATGTCGAACAATATGACTTTCTGGTTCCTCATAGTCTGTTTCTATGAAATGGAGAAAAATTAATATAGTGTATAAAACACGGAAGATTAAGAAAATTTTAAAATATATTATTATTTGTTAGGTGGTTAAAGATAGTCATCAGAATTGCCTAGACCTATGTTTTGAATTAGTCAGCATGCATCAACAGGGGGTGTTTGTATTCTTAAACGAATTGATACTAAGACATTACCATTTCGACCCATTTCGACTCATTAGTAACGTCTCACAACGTAAGCTGAATGACCTGGATTTGAGCACATCAGCGAGGATCAATTCCTTGAAGATTCCAGGTACTTTGTGTTGAATAGCGCTGTCTGTCAGAGAACTAGATTTCATGGTCTCCAGGTAGCTATATTCAACGGCCCAACGCCATTACATAGTGCCCGAGATATTGCTTTACTCAGATCATTAACTAAATTGTAATTTGATCGATGTAATCCAAGCAACATTAAGGGACTCATGGTAAGGGAGTTAAAATATTTGTGGTATCTTTGATTCTACAGAAGAACTCGCAGAAAGAATACTGTCTTCCAACATCTCCAATTATGGGTTGCAGAAATTTGTATTGATAGACTATTCACATACAAAAAGGTAGCTATTTTAAACGTTCAAAAAACATAAGTCACTTGAATCAAATTAACTACTTATTTCTAACCGAACAATTGGCTTATAAACTTTTACTTACAACCTAATTGCTTTATTTGTTCCTACTATACTTAAACCAGTTTCTTCAAGAAAAGAATATTTCTCACAATAAAAATGTAGCAGTAGTAGAGATAATAAGTAATATGTTTTCACTGACTTTGATAAAGGTAGAAACTCTTCATCATTTAATTCCGTTTAAGTAAACGAATGAAATGATTGGCTTTAAAGATAAAACAATGGGCTTTGAAGCTAAGGATACAAGCATAGTTATCAAGTCTCTTATAACAGTAATATAAGTTAACAATAAGGACAAGAATTCTACTTTCATCATAATAACATTTTAAAAATGAAATTAATGTTATGTTCAATTCAGTAAGGAATAAGTAAAATGTAGGATATCAACAACAAAAAAACTTAACATTTGTTATTAAACTATTTTCTGACAGTAAACTTCAATTCACATAGAATGTAATTTTATAAAACATTGAAGTATTGAATAAATTTCAACACTTACCTAAACCATTCAATTAAAATATCAATCAACACACAAATAAAATGTGATTATTTATAAACGCAGCTGGATAGTGGCTAGCAGTGGAATCCAGGGCACGCGTTTCGTCGTACCTGGGACTCGTCAGTTGGATGTACCTTCATCTCAGAGTTGATGTTCACTATGAGATTCGAACCTGGTACCGTTCGCTTCAAACACCATCGAGTTATCTACTTAGCTACTAAGTCCTGATAGCCATCTATTTGTGCAATGAGGTGAAATTTAAATTCACTTGGTGTTGTTTGTTTGTATCTTCCCATTGTTTAAAAAAAATGCAATTGATCAGTCTCTTATTGGCATATGTGCATCCATCTTTACTTAAAAAAGCTTGTGACTTAAGGCAATATCGAAGCAATCTACACAGTATGTACCTATGCCAATAAGACACTGATCAATTTCAGTCTTAAACAACAATAGATAGATACAAGCAAACAACATTAAGTGAATATAATTATTTATCTATATATTTTCCGAAAATTGATTTCTCACATATATAAGAGAAAATATTTTCCCAAAAAAAGTTTTTACAAAACATTGTTCGAATTTCTTTGATAAAATCTGTTTCCATAATTATCATTCATCACTGTTTTCTCATTAACTATACATAGAAATAAAACAAATTTGTACATTATTTCATTATAAGAAACATGACTGCCATTTGAAAATCTTGAATTAGATCTTTTTTTTCTTTGATGTTATAAAAGCCGAAACATTCAATTACAAAAAAAAAAACAAAAAGAAAATTTCAAATGAATTAGAGACAGTTGTTAAACATAGATGAAAATGTATAGCTAGGACTTCAACCAAAAACAAAAATCCAGTTCATACATCAAAGAAGATATAATTCAGCATTCTTATCGAAAGTTCATTAGATAAACTTAGTAAATGAGTCAAATAAATTGTTCTGATTGAAATTATGATAATTATAATAGCAGCTATAAACTATAATATTTTAGATCAAATGTTGAATAAAGCACTTAAATTTTATAGTATGTAATGGATATAAATGATTTTAGATTCGAGTTATGTGAAGTATATTTGATAGCATTATCTTCAACAAATAAGCTTATAATTCTTATAATCTACTGACTAGTTTCAACAGTTTTCTGTTAGCTTGGTTCGAATTCATGAGTTCACTTAATGAAAGGTTATGTAAAGCGTAAAATCAACCTTACATTTTCGGTTATCATCATTGAAATTCATTTTACTGTTCTACATAGGTAGTTATCCTCACATCGATAATGTACTAACACTTAGATTTTACTGTACAAATATTTAGAAACATCTTCCTATTCTTCGTTCTCACTGACTAGTTAGGTATGTGAACCGCATATAATAAAGCCCTTTTATGATAAGTTTACAACCTAGTGCAAAGATGGTTTATGAACACATTGAGCTGAACCACTACGGTGGTTAAAACATATTCATTTACATTTACACATTGAAGAAACGTGAATTGATCATATTGGTATCTATGCATCTCACAGCTTGTGCTATAAAAACGACATGTCTTACGAATAAAACTAATCAACAGCGTGAGTTGATCAAGACAAATTCTAGTTAATCGCCGTCGAGACATTTTTAAATATATTTTGATGAATATTCACCAGTCAGGTGAATAAATAAACAAGATTTATTACACCAATCTATATTTTATGATTAGAATATTTTGCTACAGTTAGACATTCGGTACACAATAAGGCAATGATTATTCATTGAATTAAAATATATAACTGCAGTTAGCGAATCTCATTATCGACAGTTCGTAATTTTATAGAAAAGGCCTAAAGTATATAAGCTAGCTGATGTTTGTCAGTTACTCATTTTTAAATTATATACTATTCAATTCCTCAGGATTTAGGCAATCAATGAACACTTAGTATAAAAATATTGTTAACTGTTTCCCGAAATCTACCCATGATAATTCTACATATAGTAGTAGAAATTGTTCGTTTATCAAATCAAAGTATCTCAATTTATGCAAAACTATCGTTTATTGGAGGCGTCTAATTTAGGCGTCATAAATGCAATAACGATATGTGAACTAAAGAATTTTTAGTCATATATTATATAAGCTGAACAATTTTATCTTGAATAAGATCTTTTAGTGTCCGTAAAAAAAACATCACATGATTAAAATCTCCCACCAGTAAAATTAATTTATAAAAATAACATTTAATCTGACGGGTTTTTTTGTTTTGATCGATTAAGCTTAGTTGATACACTGTTATCCATTTGGAAAAAAAACAACTTCAAAGAATCAAACAAGACAAAGTCAACAATAATGTAAACATAAAAAATATAATTTATTAGTATCAGAAGGGGATTTGTAGAGATTGTAGTAATTTCAACAGTTGAGAACATGAGTCAATTGAAGTTAGACCACCATGGAAGACCTGGAAGCACTGAACGGCCTATTGTAGGATTCCTCAATAGTGTATATCCACGACCCCACGTAGCGGGATTCGAACCCAGGACATATCAGTCTCGCGCCAGGTTGCTGAGTAGCCCCGCAATAGGACGAAACGGCCATCCAGTGTCTCCAGGTTTTCCATGGTGGTCTAACTTCAATTGAATAATGATCTCAACTGTTGAAATTACTACAATTTCCACAAAACCTCTTCTTATACTAATCCATATATGCTCACTAGTGACTAGCTTCAAGATATATATCCTGGAAATCTAGTGAGAAGCAGTGACCAGTGGGGTTCAACCAGGTCTGTTGTGAGATAGTAACTCACTGAAGACAATGGTGGGTATGTTGTTCAATTTCGTGGATTAGTTGAAATTAGACATTAACACCGGCTAAGTGGTCTAGTTGGTTAAGCGCCTGGCGCAAGACTGATATGTCCTGGATTCGGATCCCGCGAGGCAGGGTCGTGGATGTGCACTGCTGAAGAATCCCACAATAAGACGAAACAGCCATCCAGTGCTTCCAGGTTTTCTATGGTGGTCTAGCTTCAATTGACTCATGATCTCAACTGCTGAAATAATTTATTAGTATGAATTGGATTTTTGAAACTCATTTATATGTTATAGTGGTAGTGATAAAAGCAGATATCCAATGGTTAAAGAGTTAACTTATTATTCAGTTTCTATTCTTTTTAAAATAACTTTTGTAAATTACACAATTAAATGAATTAAACAGTTTTAGATAAACTTATAAACATTATTCAACACCTTGTACAATATATTTTACTCCTAGAGTACTCTAGCTTAATAGATCATTCTTGCCATCATCTTGAGGAATTCATCTTGAAGCGAGTCTAGAATGATTAAAGAAATTTGTCAAGATAATCAGTTTTGAAAGCAATTGTTATGTGAATTTTCATTTACAAAATAGGTCGTCTAGGATCATTATTATTCATTCATAATGTTAAGACAATGGGTTCTATTCCTAATAAGGTTATAATCATAGTCTTTGGAATAATCAAATCAAGGCAAATAGCAGCCTACTCTTTCTTGATTTTTGGTGATTCTATGTGTAAAATCAGTGTTTATAAACCTCATATTTATAAACTTCAATGAAATATAACAAAACAATAATCACCGGTTGTTTCATAATCCCATCAACTCACATTGGATTATATTGACCTTGTTTTACTGCATTATGATTGGTCAACAAAGGTTTTGAATGAAATTTTCTTTTCTTTATTTAATGACAGGATTAGATCAAAAACTAAGTACTGGTAGATTTTTAATTCTTTCTTTTTTTGTTTAAGTAAAGATAGGACATTAATAATAATAACCTTAATCAATCTCTATGAATTTTCTTGTAACAAACATATCGACCTACTTAATCAACAT